CGTCGCTTCCAGCCATGGGCTGGGCTCGCTTCGCGAAGGACCTGTCCAATGAACAGACCGAACAGGAAGATCTCGCTCGGTGCCAGTCCATGTACATGGCATCCGTGCTCGATTCCGCGACATGGACTTCAAGTTCAAATCGCTGACGAAGATGTATGAGCTGAAGCCTGGTAAGTCGCAGCAGGAGTACACTTCGCGGTTCTTACATCTCCTCCCACAAGTGGATACAGAATTGCCCGAAGTCGTCAAGCGCTGGCTTTTCCAGCAGAATCGGCGCGTCGACACTAGTGGATACATCTCGCAAAACGTCCCCGAGACGCTAGAGAAAGCCATCGAGTTAGCTCAGCGCTATGAGGACGCCAAGCCCGCTAACACGCGGCCTCCTGCAAAGAAGCCGGTGAAACAGAACGCCAAAACAAACAACAGCAGTTCCGGCAACAGCAAGTCGAAGAAAGACACCTCTAAGGATAATCCGGTCAAACAATGCAACTACTGCAAGAGGAAAAACCACACAGAGGACGAGTGCCGTACGAAGGCTCGCGACGTCACCGCTGCTGCTGAATCTGGGCCGCCAAAAAAAAAAAAAAACGGTCCAGCTCGGTAGGGTGGCAACCTACCGAGCCAACAAGTGCAGGAAGCTCTGGCAGTAAGCCTTCTGCGCCGCCAACATCTGATGAAGTCGCTAGCAGCAACTCGAAGCGACTAGCATTTCATTCGGACAAACTAAACTGCTACCTGTCTCAGAACGCACGAATCCACGACCGTGTTGCTCAGTGTTTCGTGGACAGTGGGTCATCCTTCAACGCAATCTTACCGGAGCTGGCTCACAAGCTAAACGTTCAAGTGAAACAATGCTCAGGACCGCTATCAGTGAAGATCGGAAACAATCGGCGCATCACAATTCCACGCAGACAAGCTGTTGTTACCGTTGATATTGAAGGTTTCCCTGAGTACAAGTCGCCTGTGTACGTGATGCCAGTCCCCGAGAACAAGGACATGCTACTCGGCTGGCCATGGCTTGAACAAGTGAACCCTGACATCGACTGGACCAACCGAACAATATCGTTTCGCAGTGACACACAGTCGTCCGTTGTGTCCTTCAGGCAGTGCCTACGACACGCCCCAGCTCGAAAAGCAAATCGACGACGTCTCCGAAATGGCCACAGTACTCGGGATGATGATGCTCTCCAGCAGTTCTACGTACATCATGACTTCGACAGTGCACAAGGGTCAACTCGCGTAGAACCTGCGGAAAAGCTGAAGAAACTACTGCGAGAAGAAGACAACGAATTTTGCTTCGTGATTCAACATGATCCTGACAGTGCTAAGGCCGATCGTCAATTGGCACAAGACTGGGAGGCACTCAAAGGACACCCTGC